TTTTTTTTTTTTTTGTAGTAGTAGTAGTAGTAGTAGTAGTATTTATTTATTCTTTTAAAGGGAGGCCAACCTGTGCCGCATGATCCAGGCACTCCGGTCTGGTTCATTCGGCGGAATTTGTCTTTCAGTGTTACTTGTACTTGTCATGACCGCTCAAACATTCTCTTTCGTTTTTTTTTTCTATTTTATTCTCCCTTTTTTTTCCCTCTTAAAAAACAAAAAAAGGTCCAGCGTGTAGTAGAGGGTGGGTACGGCCTCAGGAGGTGCCCCTGGTACTCATCCGTTGGGAGGTCAGATGGATTGCAGGGACCCAGGGGTAGTCACCTCAAGATGGGATCATGGTACCATGACCCGTATGCTAATGCTCAGATCGCAAGTCGTGATCTGCGCAAACGCTTACCGGACTGACCCGAAGGACTTTTTAATTTTTTTTTTTAATTATTATTGTTTTTTAAAAGGGCGATGGCCTTGAGGTATTATCATCGGACTAACCAGCCCAGGTAAATTCAACATTGTGTCTAATCTGACATCGGGTGGCCTTTTCAACCCAGGATGGCCTTGATTGCCTTCAGGGAATCCCCAACGCCTCAAGGCCATCGCCCTTAAAAAAAAATAAAAAAAAAAGACCTATGGTGTCAACCGCACAGCTGGACCTCAGAACAAGGGAAGAAAAAAAAAAGTACACGAAAAAGAAAGTTGCGTGACGTTTCGTTGCGTTGTAGTGGAAGGGTGGAAATCATTGTGTAAGAAAGAAAAAAAAAGACAGAAAAGAAGTGGAAAATCTTGCATGATCTGTTTGGTGCCAACTGCGCAGGGGGAACTCCGTTACGTTACGTTTTGTTACGTTACGTGTCGTCTAGCTACCTTTGGTTAATGCGTAGTCAGCAGTAGCCCGTGCAATGAAGCGATCAGAGTCCAGGGGAAAACCCCCAAACATCGCCCGTGCAATGTCGTCTAGCTACCTTTGGGGAAAACCCCCAAGCAGTCGCCCCAAGTCAGCAGTCGCCCGTGCAATGAAGTGAGCGCACCGCTAATCGGTTCGCTCGCACAGCTGTCTTATCACGTGTCATCGTCCCAAACGACCCGTTGCCTTTCACTTCAAAAGAGAAAAAAGATATTCGCCGTATTGTGTTCTGGACATGGCCTCGCTCCACCACTCAAAGTGGGAATGAACCTTACCCTAAGACATGGAACGATGCACCGCCATATATTTTGTCTTTTGGGCATGTGGTGAGTAGTGGAGCGTGGCACTGTCGTTCGGATTCTAACCGATGCGGAAGCCAAGGTACACAAAGACAATCCAGGGATTGTCTCCTGGACTTTGACGTCCACGTGGAGCGCACTCTAGAGGTTCACTCGCCAGCTCCGTACAGCTTGGCACAGTCGGGACGTGCCCGCGGCTCACCCGCCAGCTCCGTACAGCTTGGCAAAGTCGGCCAGCTCCGTACAGTGGGCACAGTCGGGACGTGCCCGCTCATGTGTGTCGCGAACAGTCATCGCCAGCGCGGCTGTGGAAGGACAATGGAGCCTCAGACTGACAAGGGAGATGACCACAGCCCAGGGAACAACGATTGCGGGTCTCTGTGTTGCAAGATGTATCAATGGGAAGCTGGACCCGGTTTCCAGCACGTGCCGCTCCCCACCAATAGATGGAGCGGCCCGGCAGATAAGCCCTTAAACCACCAGTAGTTGGCCCCGACGCTTTCCCGTTAACACGCCGCGCCTTTAGGGCTTCGGGGTACCGGACCTCAATGGCTGGAAGTGCCAGCCAAAACAATTTTGAAACGGTAACCCGACGCTTCAGCGAAAATTGGTGCGCAGGGGCATTCCAGGCTCGGCATCGATAGCTGGGCCAAGTACTGGTGGTTTAATTTTGACGAATCTCTTACCACTGCCGGGATAGCATCGTGCGGACAACAAACTCACCAGTTGGGTGCTGCGCTGATGGCGCCAGCATTTTCACTACGGTTATCTTCGGTCCACATCAACTCAACCACTGGGACTTCGGTGGGACAGTCCTCTCGACTCCCAGATTTTCATCCCGACCGTCCCACCCCAGCATCTACGGATGACAATCTTCGATAACCCCGCAATACCAACAATCTAAGATCATCGACGCATGCAGACTACATCAACGGCAAGGAGTGTTGATTTGCCTCACCCAAGTTGGAGCACGGCCTCACCAACGCGACTGCCTTGACCTCTGACAGTATAAGTCACGGGTGCCTGTCCAGCCATGACAGCTTGCGAAGACTCTCGAGTTGTGCCCTCCAAACCTCGCCCGCTCGCCGCATTCATCGAACCTGTAGGCACACGGCACAAGGGTCAGGCCTCATAGAGGTCGAGTCTTTCTCCTCGCCTGTTTTCGGGGCACCATCTTCCCAGTCTCCGCTTGTCGCTGTTATTTCCTTCGTCGTCAATCAGGTCGGTCAACCAGTCAGCGGTCATCCTCCTCCTGTCAGTTAGTCCTATACGGTAAGCCTGTCTCGTCGCCCAATCTCTCATCATGAACCCCTCAGCTTGTAGAATTGGTGAGACCTCAGTCGCACCTTCACCTGTGACGCGCCAGCTTCCGAACCTGCGCCATCTTCCAACGCCCCCCCCCCCCCCCCCCCCTTTTTTCTTGTGGGATCTTTTGCAACCAGATCGAAGAGACCCCTTTCTGTATTTTCATGGATCGATGCGCATTTTTTCGTTTTGATCGGTTTTTGGAATTTCATCTTGAACACTGAATTCGTGAAAATCTAACAAAACCACAAAACCTAACATTTTTTATAGAATGAAAAAGTAAAAGTAAAACTGTTATTTTTGACACATAAAATAGAGCGTTTTAAACTGTTTTCCGAGAAAGGAGGCAAAAAAAAGGGGCAAAAAGTCTAAGCGATTCTCAAAACGTGCAAGAAAATTCTTTCCAGCAAAGAGCATGTTATAAGACTATAAGTTGTTCTCAGTAGATTGAAAAAACGCATACCTCAAACAATACAATCTTTAAGGAGTGCAAGGCGGACTCGAAAGATGTTAAAAAAAACAGTTTCGGTGAATACTCATTTATAAAACTATTAAGTCGTTTTCAGCTGCTTGGTAAAAACGAAGATCTGCGAAAACTAGTTTATAGAACTATAAATTAATATAACTCCATTTTAAAGTTAACTGTAAAACCCTCGTCAAAAAAAAAAAATGTTATGCCAGGGTTACCTGACTGAACGTTCGGGGGCCCTCGGGCTGGCCACCGAACGTTCGGGCGTTCGGAGTCCCGTTCGGAGGCCGAACACCTCCAGGTTCGTCTCCTGCGAAAAAATATTTCGGGGCCTAAAGATAAGTTTTTTTTTTCTGAATTTTTTTTGTGCATTCTCTATGATGTAACCTACACACCTATAAATTTTGAAGTCATTCTGCTAAGCCAAAAAAACATTACAAATCGTCAAAGATGGGGGTGTCAAAATGTGCTCGCCCACTCACTATTTTTTTTTTTTTTCACTTTTCACTTTTTGTTTTCACTTTATTTCGGGGCCTAAAAAATTGTATTATTTTTTGAACATTTTTTAATGAGTTATTATTATATAAACTACATATCTGTAAATTTCAGCGCATTTGTCAATGCCAAAAAATAATTAAAAATCAGCAAAGATGGCGGTGTCGAAAAGGTGTTAGCACACTTTATTTTCTGTATTTTATTTTTAATTGAAATTGGGT